AACAATAAATAAAAAACAAACAAACAAAAAAATTAAGTGAAATAAAATAAAAAGTAAAACAAAAGTAAAATAATGTGAAAAGACAAATAACAACAAACAAACAAAGAAAAAAAATAACTGAAATAAAATAATAAATTAATTAAAAATAAAAAGTTAAAAATAATAAAAAATAATGTAAAATAAAGTTAAATAAAATAAAACAAAAAATTTAATTAAACAAAAATAAAAATAAAATGAAATAAAATAAAAACCAAAATGAAAAAATACATTAAAATAAAATAAAGTGAAATAATAAATAAAAAACAAACAAAACAAAACAAAAAATAAAGTAAAATAAAATACTAATGAAATAAAATAAAAAAATAAAGCGAAATAATAAATAAAAAACAAGGAAAAAATTTTGTGTAACAAAAATAAAAATTAATTAAAATTAACAAATAAAAATAAAACAAAAGAAAAATAAAGTGAAATATTTTTTTGTTTTAAAAATAAAATATCAAAAACAAAATTTAAAGTGTGAAAAATAAGAAAGTGAAATAAAAAATTAAGCGAAATAATAAAAAAACTAACAAACAAACATATTAAAAGAAAAATAAAGTGAAATAAAATAAAAATACATGTTTATAGAGCTCTTGCATAAAAACAAAACATCACCAGGTTTTAATATTGAGTTGAACATAAAGTTCGTTTTTCCATAACTCCACATTTCCATTGTTCTCGCTTCTCTGCTGTTTATTCATAACTTATTACTTAAAGTGCAACAAGGCTACTATAATATTTACATTTATGTTTCTGGCAGACACTACAGCCAAATGAATTATTGTTGTGGCTGGACAAGCAGTGCATTCAAACGCCCAGGAGACTTGAGAATGAGCTCAGACTTGGCAGCGAACAGACATTTTACACAAACAGGGACCACATACACATAAGCGTGAGGAGTTGCTGTGAGTGACAGGCCATTGTTGGCCTGCTTCCTTTAGAGAAGTTTGCGTTCAGCATCAAACTCCCTGACCCACTTTCCGCTCAAGCCAATAAAGCGATCCAGTCATCAACAAGCATGACGCAGGCGGTTCTACGGCCCAAGATCCGTCAGCTGAAGCCATACACTCACATTGAAACTCTTTGCTGTTCTTAGTTTTGGGGTAAAAGGAACTTTTTAAGGGTGCCTATCATGCAAAATTAACTTTTGGATGCTGTTTTGGACAGATATAGCATACAGTAGGGCTGTGCGATATGAGGATTTTTGATCACTGACGATTTAAATGTGGATGCGTAATTCGGAGGTGTTTAACAGCCAGCAGATTAATAGACCTAACAAGGCATAATTACCGCCAAAATGTGTATTCTGTCAATATTTGCTCACTCTGATGAAGTCCCTAATCTGCCTTCACTTATTATTATGCGTTTCATGTAAATTAAAAAAAAAATAATGATAATAATATAATGTATAATAATGATTCCACCCCCCACCCAATTATTAGTCCCCTATTTATTTTTTCCTCAATTTCTGTTTAACAGAGATTTTTTCAACACATTTCTAAACATAATAGTTTTAATAAATCATCTCTAATAACGGATTTCTTTTA